AACAAACAAACAAACAAACAGGAATGAGCAAGGCATATATTTTGCAAGGGTGTGAAATTCAAGCAAAGTCAGAAAAGGTGGTGCCCGAGTTTCCAAGCACCACTAGCCTACTCTCATAGGCTCAAGCAATCGCTGATTTTGGCAGACCTCGGCCTCCCACTTTCTCCTTTAGGCTCGCTGCCACCCACCATTCTGCCTTGCCTCTGGCCTCACTACCTCTGGGGGGGGGCGGCTTCTTGCACCCCCAAGTCTGGGTTTCCCCTCTCCCAACCGCGCTCAGACCGTCCTGGCATTTTCTGTTTATCCGTTCCACCTGTGAATCCTGGGAGAGCGCATGCAGGGCGTAGAGCAGGTGGTTAATCAATGAACAAGCGAAAACCAAGTCTTTTTTTTTTTTGAAAACCAAGTCTTTAGGGAGCTGACGGTGGAGGCAGCGGTCTCGCTGCGAGAGACGTGAGAAGGGGGCGGGGCGGAGGCTGAGCTCAACCCGAGAGCGGAAAGGGAAAAGCATCCGAGGACTGCAGGGCGCGACAGAGGGCAGGGGAGGGATGGAGAGAAGCCCTGGGGGTTCTCAGAAGGACAGGGGCTGAGGACGGCGGGGGCGCACACTCACCGGCGATCGGAAGGCCCCGCGGCAACTCCGGCTCAGCCTTGGTTCTGTCCTGAGGGGGAAGCGGAAGGGAAAAGCTGATGGCGCCGAGGGGCTCCGACAGGAACCCGGGGGGCTGGGCGCGAGAGGGCAGTCCGCTCCGCTCCTGGGATCCGGGCCGAGCTCCTGACGGAAGGGGCGGTGGTGAGAGGGGGACCCTGGAGGTGACTTCCGAAACTTGCAAGTGTGGTGGAGGTGTGAGCGCTCAGGAAAGGGACTGTGAAGGGATGCCCTTCTCCTTGTTGCTCCTTCCTTGCCCACCTCCTGAGCCCTGGGGTCCGAGGACCCCTGGCTGGGGGACTGTGCAGTGTAGGAGGGTCCAGGACTGGAGGCCGAAGAGCGGGCCTGCAGCCCGCCAGGTAACCAAAAGTCCGGGACTGAAACGGGGAACCCACCCCCGGAATGGGCGGGAACTGCAGCTGCGCGCGCAGCTTTCAACGTGACCCCGCCCATTCCACGCGCCCGTTCAGGCCGACCACGCCCCCACAAACGTCATCTCTCTCCTCGACCAATGGTACTGGAGAATTAAAGCTACGCCCACACCGACGTCCGTTGAGTTTAGTACCGCCCAAGTTACGCCTCCCATGGCGGGGCGGCGTCCTGACGCGGTAGCTATCGGAAGAAATTCCGCAGTGGCTGATGGGATTGTGGTGATGTGGCCCCACCCCTTCCCCCCTCCCTGCCCCGGGATGTCGGAAGAGACCAGGCAGAAGAAATTGGCTGCGGCCAAGAAAAAGGTAAAACGCGCCAGGTCGCGAGCCTTCTTCCCAGCCCGACTTTCCTCGGCGGCCGGACGGTGGGCAAAGCATGTGCCACTTCTGAGGCACACGGGGTGAGCCCCTGGGCGCCCCTAGTTCCCCCACTAAAGTCCTCTTGGCCAGCCCCGCCTCCTCAGCTGCCCAGCCCCCGCCCTCTCCGGGCCCCCGGGTGACTTTGGCGTTGACTCCGAGGTTCCCCTCTCAGGGTTTGGCCCCTACCCATCTGCCAACCCAGACTGAACCTTCCCGGCCCCCATATCCGAGGGCCTCGGTCTTTTTCCCCTTTGGGACGGAGAGGGAGGGCCGGGCATGGACCTGTTTCGGGGTATCGGGAGGGAGTAGAAGGCAGTTACGTCACAGCCCCCCCAACTGTCATTACTACCGCCAGCTCGGCTTTTGATCTTCCCACCCGGTCCCCTGAGTGTCCGAACTCCCTTTCCGGTTTTTCTGGTCGAGGCACAGAGGTCCACCTGGAACCGGAGCCAGGATCTTGGGAAGGGGTGCAGAGAGCTTTTAGGTTCCCTGGCTCCTTTAACTTAACCCGGGTTCCGCGCAAACTTCACCAGGGAGCTCGAAACATTGACAGTGTCTCGGGGTGTCCACGGGACAGCAGATTTATGTTGGTTTTCTCCCAGGCTTCAACTCTCCAGAGAGACTTCAAATTTTCTTTTAAATTCTCTGCTTTATATTCGAATTCCCTTTGACTCTGGCACCAGAACGGCCTTTAAGTTCGTTGGACAGCGATCTGCTTGTCTAATGGGAGAACTGAAGTTCACAGCATCTTTTCTACCTGGGGTGCTTGTGTCACAAGATAAATACAAAGCTTTTTTTTTTTTTTTTTTTTTT